AGGTGTACCATATTTATCACTCATAGCAAATCCAAAGAAAATAAGAAAACCAATAAAAAAGATTAATTTCAATCCATAGATTACTGCAGTCTATCAAACATTAAGATGAAAAAATCTACAAAATAAATCGAAAAAAACTCACTTTTTGTTTTTGAATTATTTGAATTATATATTTTCGAAGTTTTAATATAAACAAACCATTTGAATAATTATCTTCAGGAAGTTTTTCAAAGCCTACGTTATTCTTATCTTCTTCATCATCATCATCTTCTTCCTCTATCGATTGTAATTTTGTTGTTAATATCGATCCATTTGTAGTATTTATTATATACGGTTGTTGTTCTAACTCAAATGCAGGATTTTCATGGGGATTACGATTCTGAATAAAAGAAATTGTTTCGTTTTTTTTTTGTTAAATAAAACTAACCTTTGTCATTTGAAATTTTGTATTCGATTGATTTTAGTGTAAACAAAACTACAAAAAGAAATATAATCTTTGATCCATTTAGATTATTAATGCTTTTATTTCTCTTTCTATAGATGATAAGATAGTATAATACTCAAATTTGATTTATTTCAATTACCATTTGACATTAAATACACTATCATGTCTAATAGTTGTAAATAAAGACAAGTGTATTGATAAGGATTTATTTTAACAAACATAGTTTTTATTAATAACAAAGAAAAGAATAAAAGTTGTTCATAAATCGACTTACTTTTTTCAATGACTGATCTTGTTTTGTTTTTGAAATTTGTGTGTATTCTTTAAGAAAAAATTACAATCGCATCAATATATTTTTATATTTATTTATCGTATGAAAACGATATTCGATAAATTTTTTAAGCATGACATTTATCGTAAATTTATTTGATACAAATCTAAATGATTGAGAAAAGTAAATAATGACTTGTTACAGTCTCTGATCATTTAGCTCTATAAAAAAGCAATCTACTGATTTCAAATCGGATTTTTTGATTTATACAATAAAATACAAGATTAGTTTAAAATGCAATTAATTTTCTTATCTTACTAAATTTCACTTTTGAAGGTGTAAATGTTATAATTATCTGTTACTTACATTCAAACCCACCCTCAACAAGCTTATTTTATAATACATCTTGGTCAAATCAATTAGAAATATATCAATTTCAGCTAGTTTTATTAAGTAAAGCAAAAGTATTTATTATTGAAACCATGAGAGTAAAAACAAATCACAAAAGTCGCAGCATAAATATACAATGCAAAAATAATAAATATTATTATAATGTCTTTTTATTCTGTATATTTCAATAAATATTTCATAGATTAAATTAGCATTTATATTTTGATAAAATGTCACAAAAGATTTATATTTAAGATAATGAATAATATTGAATATATCTAAAGATTATAAAACAAATGATTTTTACTATTTATTTTAAAATGAAAGAAACAGTTTATTTCTAAATATTTTAATATATATATTTTGTGTTTTATGTGTAATCGTGCTTTGTATTGTAGTTTTCATATTTGCAAATCATATTTTTCGTAAATCTATTGCTAACAACGTCATCTAAATCGGTTTCTTCCCATGTCAAAGACGTACGGTAGGAAACGACCGGATTCCGTGATTTTCCTGGGCATTCTGTGGGAAAACACGGGAAATTCATAGGAAAATGGAAGCAGTATTCCGGTGATCGGATCCGGTGACCAAATCCGCTCGGTTCCGTCCGGAACTGATGTCAGGAGGAAATTCCGGGCATTTTCCGGTAGGATTCCTGCCAGAAACGGTGAGTTTCCTGAGGATTTTCACCGGAAGTTCTGGGAACACTGCTTCAGGAATCATCGTCCTGGGTTGTTTATCATTATCACCACTTATTGTTCGACCACTTCGTTCGAAGTCTTTTAATTCTTTTTGAATTAAATTATTCTCTTTCTCGTAGAGAAGAGTCCAGTAAAGATAAATTGTCTGATTGATTGTGTGTCCGCAGAGTAAAAAAAACATTGAAATTTAATTTTTCAGATACTTCCGGAAAACTTTGACTGGGGGGTAATCGAGGGCGGGGAACTTGAATCTCAGGTTAGTTTATTAAAATTAACGAGTTAATAATCAGTTAATAATTAGTATTATTATATTTTCGAGTAAAGTTTCACCAAAAGGTAATCGAGTGTGGAGAACTCGAATCTGAGATTAATTTATTAAGATTAATTAGTTAATAATTGGTATTATTAATTTTTGAAATATTTTCGGAAAAGTTGGACCAAAGGGTTTTCGAGTGCCAAGAATTTGAATGTGAGGTTAATTTTAGTTAAAAATCAATTGATAATTAATTAATATTATTAATCTTAAAGATAGTTTCAAGAAAGTTTTACCAGAGGGTAATTCGTGAATCGATTTTTTAGAGAAGACATTTTTGAGGCATTTCGATGCGGAGACTTCGAATCTGATGTAGTTTTATAAAATAATTTTATGGATCACTTTTTTAGGGAGAGAACTAATTTTTATAAAAAAAAAATTTTCATGACGGGTGACCGAAGGGTAAGTGGGGCGGAAGAACACAAATCTGGTGTTAATTTTTCTAAACTGTAGAAGCAAAAAGTTTAGTATTGTAGAATACGCTTTCTACGAGAAAGAGCTGAGCGAGCTCGCAGACGAGCGTTACTTGTATAATTTATCATTAACATAATTCATAATATCATCATCTTCATTATTTCTGAAACTCCAATTTGACTAAATTTTTCCATGAGTTGTTGATTTAGCAACACAAAAATTTCGTATTTAATTTGTCAATATATAATGTACAAGGATAACATAATAATTTTGATATACCAATTTCAATATCATCAGAATTATAAATTTCATGTATATTTTGTTCGATTAGATAATCTATCAAACGAATTTCACAATGAATACATGTTGATAATTGTAAAGTGTTATCATATCCATCAAATCGATTCTGAATATATTTATTTTTAAAATCAAGTCTTGTTTGATCATCAGGCAATTTACACTTTAACCAAAGGTTATCAAATGTTAATGATGGTTTTTTATTTAATTTAATTATATTTTGAATAGGTTCAATAAATTTCCATTTTATATTCTTATATATTTCACCATAATCAAATTTTCGTTGTTCTAAACATATCAGTATTAGATCGAGTGATCGAACATGTGCTGACATTTTATCTAAATAATATAGAATACGATCATGTTCAATGACATTTGGATATTTATATTTAATTATTGAATGAAATATTTTTGAAGAATATAATATTTTACAAGGACCTTGAAATTTTTGAATAGTTTTTAATTATGGATTGTTTTTGTCTTTTGCAATTGAATTTCGATGTAAAGTACGATCTTTAATCCAATCAAATAATACTCTAATATAATCGTTCAAAGGCATAGTTGTTTCTTTTAAATAAACATCATCAACAGAACCTTTGTTTAGTCTACCAACAGTAATATTTTGACATATATTTTCAACATCATCACGATGAATTAAGTTTACAAGATTTGAAAATGCTTCATTAAATAATGGATTCAATATACGTTTAATACATTTTTCTTTATTATATTCAAATATAAAAAAGTTTAATATTGAATAAGTTTCCAACATGCCTTCTTCATCTGATGTTAAACAAAATCGTGAATATATGCGTATCATAGAAAAAAAGTTTTCAAAATAAATTTTATCATTGTTTGTTAATGATTCATTACATGATATTAATATTTCTTTGTTTTTTAACCATGGATAAACTGATGTACATGATTTGGAGCCATTAAGTAATAAAGCAAGTCCAGGTCAAACAAGCGCGATCGTAAACGATCGTATATGGAAAAATACGATCTTTTACGATCGTTTTTCTCCGTAAACAATCATAATTTTCCGTATACGGTACGGAGACATACAGTCGTAATACGGCCTCAGGTAATACGGCAAAAAACGGTGAAATACAATCGTATATGGTCGTACTTTTTCCGGATTGTAAGCGAACACATGTATTATTTGTTCGCTACTCTTTCTTTTCT